GGGTGGCTGCCATTTTGAGCAAACCTTGAATCATCAAGCTTTACACCGTCAAGATAAACTTTTGCAGAATTAACTGAACGTAGGTATGGAGATTATCACGAAGAAGGGGTGGGTACCAAATCATACTTTGAGCCTAATATCCTTTGTTTTCATAACCGTGAACCAGACCACAATACAACCCTCAAAAGACCTAATTGAGGCGGAGTTTTATTCTGAAAGCATAACTACAGCAAGGTTGCGTAAACTGACTCCTACATATTTGCTAATCTTATGTATTGGTGTCATATTCTTGCTATATCTTTCACACCAATTAAATCAGTATTGAGTTTGGATTAACAGTCCACTCGTCACACATTTTCACATCATTCCCAATAAATGATATTTTCATAACTTGCATGAATGTCGCATTAAAATTACCATTTTTGAATGAACGATTTTAATTGCAAATTAGTAATTGGCATAATGGAAATTCCAACAAAGTGCGATTAAAGAGGAACTTGATCACTCATTGGTGTTGACCTGAATTAAGAATTTCTCCTAACCCTACGAATCTGGGGCAAGTCCTTCTGAGGTTTAAACCGGGGCGGACCACTGCAAGGTTCAGACACTGGGGCAAATGGGTTCAAGCCATATCCTGGTATAATCATCGCCAAAGTTCTCATCCCAGAAGAAAGTCCTTCAAAATACCCGGCAGACTGGGGCAAACTGGTTGAACTTGGGGCAAACTAGCTGATGGTTGAGGTCAACAAACTTCAAAGGCCTTGGGGCAGAGCAAAAGCACAACTAATATGCATTGGTTAAGTCACTACGCTCACGCAATCCATATGCAGTGGTTAAATCGCTATGCGCGTACGACTAACATGTATTGGTTAAGTCGCTGCGCTTGCACAGTCAAAATGCTCTGGATGAGTCGCTACGCTCAACGTTTGTAAGCTGTCATGATATATCGGCTAGAAGCTAGGTTCTTACCAGGACGAGTATACCACTTCTGCAAAGGATCCAACAAGGGGCAGGCTACCCAGAGTTTCGTCTGATTAAGGGAGAGTCCCTCCAACGCTCAATCGGCACAAGTCATGTCGCTTCAACGCTCATTCTGAAGCAGACTACCTCAAGAATAATTTGAAGCCAATTACCCCAAGGGTCAGTTGATCAAGGTCAAAACCCTTTCCTGACTAAAATTTGCAACAAACCATCTCGAGATCATCTCATGGTATATCTGCGTCCGAATTCCTTGCATGACTTGGAGTTTTGGAACAAACCATCTCGAGTTCATCTCATGGTACAACTGTTTCCAACTTCCTTTCACGATGTGGAGTTTTGGAACAAACCATCTCGAGTTCATCTCATGGTACAATTGTTTCCAACTTCCTTTCACGATGTGGAATGCTGGGGCAAGCCGTCTCAAGTTCATCTCATGGTACAACTGTTTCCAACTTCCTTTCACGATTTGGAATGCTGGGGCAAGCCATCTCGATTTCGTCTCATGGTATGATTGCTTCCAATTTCCGTTCAAGGAAAATTCCTTCATAGACCCAAACTGGGGCAAGTTGAACAACATTGGGGCAGTTACTCAAGCAAGTTTATTCTCGTCAGCAAAAGTTGAGTGTCAGGGAATTATGCCATCACCCACCAAATAACCTTAACCTCCTGAAAAAGCCTCTCTATCATTGGGTTTCACCCCCACGGCCTGGACCTGATACCTGTCAGAGCTTTGTAACCGAAACAAATCCTTCAAAGTCCAGTTCTCGTCCGACAAATCTTTTAAAGTCCAGGTCTCGTCTGGCAAATCATTCTAAAGTCCAATCCATTTGGCAGCCACTAAAAGTCCACCCTCGTTGGCATCCTCAATAACCAAAGTCCAAACCATTTGGCAACTACCGAATCCAGTCCCTGGTGATTTCCCCGACAGGATTTTATCCCCAACATACCCGGTCGCTGCATTATCATAAGCACGGCATATAGCCTCATATCATAATCATATCAAGCATTAACATATCATTTGCATTCGCATCATGCACTCCCTAGCAGTTACATCTTAGTTGCATGTTTGGGCATCATAAAACATTGCATTACATAGCAATGTAGCAGGATCCAGGATCAGTTCGCGAGCATCTTGGTCAGTCCTCCAGTGAGTTGGAAGTATGACTCCGAAAAGAGTTAATACCCCACGAGTTCAGGGAATTCTACTCCTCAGCAAGTCAGTCTTCAACCATGCAGTTGATGATGATGATCCCCAACAACTATTGCTATGGTGGCTCCCCAAGCAGAGATTATCTTAGAGAGTTTATTGAAGATTTCTCCCCTGCAGAGTTTGGACAACGCTGTTCCTTTAAATAGGAATTTTAGCTCAACTATTCCTCAGCAAAATTATCACTCGAGATACTGCTTTGGTATCATCGAAGAGCCTTAATGGATAAGGTACTGCTTCGACCACCCGAAGAATCTCAAGTTAATCGAGATACTGCTTTGGTATCATCGAAGAGCCTTAATGGATAAGGTACTGCTTCGACCACCCGAAGAATCTCAAGTTTTGTTCGAGATACTGCTTTGGTATCATCGAAGAGCCTTAATGGATAAGGTACTGCTTCGACCACCCAAAGAATCTCAAGTTTTGTTCGAGATACTGCTTTGGTATCATCGAAGAGCCTTAATGGATAAGGTACTGCTTCAACCACCCGAAGAATCTCAAGTTTTGTTCGAGATACTGCTTTGGTATCATCGAAGAGCCTTAATGGATAAGGTACTGCTTCACCCACCCGAAGAATCTCAAGTTTTCGAGATACTGCTTTGGTATCATCGAAGAGCCTTAATGGATAAGGTACTGCTTCGACCACCCGAAGAATCTCAGGTTGTGTTCGAGATACTGCTTTGGTATCATTGAAGAGCCTTAATGGACAAGGTACTGCTTCGACCACCTGAAGAATCTCCAGTTTTGTTCGAGATACTGCTTTGGTATCATCGAAGAGCCTTAATGGATAAGGTACTGCTTCGACCACCCGAAGAATCTCAAGTTTTGTTCGAGATACTGCTTTGGTATCATCGAAGAGCCTTAATGGATAAGGTACTGCTACGACCACCCGAAGAATCTCAAGTTTTGTTCGAGATACTGCTTTGGTATCATCGAAGAGCCTTAATGGATAAGGTACTGCTTCGACCACCCGAAGTATCTCAAGTTTTGTTCGAGATACTGCTTTGGTATCATCGAAGAGCCTTAATGGATAAGGTACTGCTTCGACCACCCGAAGTATCTCAAGTTTTGTTCGAGATACTGCTTTGGTATCATCGAAAAGCCTTAATGGATAAGGTACTGCTTCGACCACCCGAAGAATCTCAAGTTTTGTTCGAGATATTGCTTTGGTATCATCGAAGAGCCTTAATGGATAAGGTACTGCTTCGACCACCCGAAGAATCTCAAGTTTTGTTCGAGATACTGCTTTGGTATCATCGAAGAGCCTAAATGGATAAGGTACTGCTTCGACCACCCGAAGAATCTCAAATTTTGATCGAGATACCGCTTTGGTATCATTGAAGGACCTTAACGAATGAGGGGCCGCTTCGACCACCCCAAAGAAGATCGTTTGTTCCGCTTTGGTATCTTCGAAGGACCTTAACAAATGAGGGACTGCTTCGACCACCCAAAGAGGATCATTTATACTACACTAGGTACCGCGAAGAACCTTATTGGGAAAGGGACTGCTTCGACCACCCAGAGAATATCAGGTTATCTCGTTCATCTATTTTGCATCTTGTCATCCTGTTCTGGTATATCCCATCTCTTTGCATTTTTACTTGCTTGTCGGACAAATTTCAGGGTCTTCTTGTATCTAAATGACTTCCACCCTGAAAATGAACGCCATGCAGCTGTTCATTCTCTCAGGTTCAAGGCAATTAGATAGGGGCATCTGTCATACCCCAAATTTGTCCTACCTTTTTTTTAAAATTCTCATTTGCCCGACTTTGTTTTTAATTTACCTCGCTTATACAGCGTAGCATATTTTTCAGCAAAAATAGGCATTTTCGCTTTTTAGCCCAATAAGAGTATGCCACGTGGCATTTGTTTTTTATATATATCTATCTTTTTTTTATATATAATTTCATTTTTCTCGTGTTAGGTTAATATAATGTTTTTTTTAATTAGTTTTGAATTAGAAATTAGGATTTAAATTAAAAAAATTTTAATTAGATAGATTTAATTTAGAACTTAATTATAACTTAGAAATTTTAATTTTAAAAAAAATATAGATTAAAAAAAAATAGAGTTAGAATTTAATTAGGATTTATTTTAAAAAAAATTATTAGATTTTAATTAATTAGCTTAGATTTAAAATTGTAATTAATAGTTAGAATTAAATTAAATAGGAAGATAGATTTATTAATTTAGTTTATTATTCAAAAAAAATTAAAAGAAAAAATAGAAAAAGAATTAAATGAGAAAACACGGTTGATGTGTAGTTGGATATAAAAGGGTAACATACCCTAAGGAATTACGGCGTTACTGTTCATCAAGCCCTAACTTGGGCCACCCCCCTTTCAAAGAAACCCTAAATCGGAATCACTGTTCATCACCCTAGAAACCCTAAATCCGCCGCTGACACGCTCGCCTCCTTCCCCTTCATCATCCCCAAATCATCATCCTAATCTCTCCTGCAATCCATCGAAACAACCATCACCTGGCCTCTTTATTCTCCACCGTAAACCATCACCTTCACTCACTTTGAGTCTTCCATTTTGTTTTCACCCATTTCCACCTCCATTTTTTCGCCGTACGTAGAATCGTCGTCGGAGGTAGGGTCATAAGGGCACAAATCGGGTACCTCACATTTCATCTCCTTGGCCAATCCTCTATCGTGTCGTTACCTCCATTTTTCACCACAAAACCTCATCCTTCTTCTCCCTTAACACAAATCGAACCACCCGCCGGAAAAACCCCCATCGTCACCATCATATGAAACCCTCAATGCCACACCACCCACCGCATCTCCTTCTCCTCAGGTGTTGAAATGAATACTGTGATGAATAATAGAACGATTCACCATGATGACAAGCCTTTTCCTGGATGCTTGGGAAGAACGGTTAACCTTTTTGATTTGACTACTGCTACTACTGTCAATGGAAACAAGCTTCTCACCGACAAGCCACACCGTGATCATGCAACATCTCTTTCAAGAAGTCAATCTGATGTTTCGAGGATTGCAAGTCCTTCATTTGCTGATCAGATAGAAGATAGGCCGATTGTTTCTAACTTGACGAGAGCATCTTCAAACAAAAAATAAATGGAACACCCATCAAGATGCTCATGGACCAGGAAATGTCCAAAGAAGTTGTTTCCAGGCACAATCCACCAAATGTTGTTGCAAAATTAATGGGCCTCGAGGCCCTTCCGCTGGGAAAACGTAATTTACCTGTGGAGAGAAACCCTGGAGAAGATTGTTCTCAGCATATTTGTGGTCATTCTAGGACATCATTCAACCATCGGCAGTTGGGTGATAGGTTTACGGACAAGAAAAATGCAGTTGAGGCTTATGTTTATGACATGAGAAATAAGCTTAATGACAAATACCATGAGTTTGTCCAAGCTTCAAAAAGCGATGAATTTCTTACGAAACTTCAGGAGGTGGAGGATTGGCTATATGATGATGGTGAAGATGAAACCAAAGGGGTATACGTGTCCAAGCTAGAAGAACTCAAAAAGCAAGGGGATCCAATTGAGGAGCGCTACAAAGAACACACAGACAGAGATGCAGTAATTGAGCAGCTTGTCTATTGTATCAATAGTTACGGACAAGTTGCAATGTCTAATGATCCCAAATTTGATCACATTGATATCAACGAGAAACAGAAGGTCTTGAATGAATGCGGAGAAGCTGAGAACTGGCTTAGAGAGAAGAAGCAACAACAAGGTTTGCTTCCAAAATGTGCTACCCCGTCCTCTTGTCAGCTGATATAAGAAAAAAGCTGAGGCTGTTGATAGGTCATGCAAGCCGATTATGATAAAACCAAGACCGACAAAGCCAGCTTCTCCAGCTACTCCCGAAACACCAGCAACCCCACCTCCTCAGGACAGCGAGCGCTAGCAGCAATGAAACAGAGCGGCGACAACTCCGGCAACGACTCCGTAAGCCATCAAGGTTTTAACAACAACTCGTGGTTTCGAACAACAACAGCTTCAACATAGGAACAACTTACGTTTTTTCAACGACAACCAGCTCTTTCCCACAAGACATAACAAAAGCGGAAACAAAGTTCATATCTTTCTTTGACAATAACTCGCCGTTTGTTGATTGCTGCAGGTTGCATTTGATTTCGGTGCGCGATCACAACACTAATGTTGATGACAAATTAATGCTTGCGCCTATTAGTTGATTGCTGCAGGTTGCATTTGATTTCGGTGTGCGATCACAACACTGCGGAGCACGCAGGTTATAGGTTTGAGATTCAGAAGTTTGAATCCAACTTGGTTCAGATCAACAATATAACAAACTCGCAACAGAGTCGCAATTCGCATTTGCCTCCACTAAACACTCTGAATTCCTTCAGCAGTCCTTTCGTTTTCACCTTCAGCAGTCCTTTCGTTTTCACCTTCAGCTGCCATAACGAAAGCATCCTGGCTAGTACATCTACAGCAACACAGCCTCACACAACGCCCTCCAGGATTTGCGTTGCATCGTTAGCGGGCCAACAAACAGGTTTTTATCAACGACATTGACGAAAGCGGTGTCGGTTTCTGATGGTGCCGAGTTTAGCTTGCCGTTCACAAGCGTTTGTGGTTTATGATGCATAGATGTTTGAGCCACTACAACCATATCAACGTCGATACATTCCCGCTCGGATTCACACCATAGTTTCACAATAACTTTGACATCGAAAAGCTCCAGGTATCCATTTCGCAGCAATGTCGTGATTCAGCTCGTAGCAGCAGGCGTTTTCGCTTCTGGTAATATTTTGAATAGGTCAAGTTCTGCATAACTTAAGGATTCTTGCTGCTTATAGTTTCTAACTCGATTTCATATGATGTAGCTTTTTGTTTGACCTGCTAAACCTTCTACTGTGATAAATGTCATGAAAACCAAATATAATTCCTCTTGTTTTCTCTGTGGTAAATATATTTCTACTGGTATGTTGTTGGTTATGTTCATTGCCGCAACCAATTACAGTTGCTGTTTCCGGTTGTTGTGTTTTGTTCTGCAGTGAGTTTTATGTTTGGTAAAAATTGAATAAACTGGAGATTTTGGCCTTAAAAGCAATTTTGAACATGTTGTTATCGATGCGATGTTTAGGTGGAAGTGCTTTAAATTTTGTATGTGATTTTGATTCGGCGGTGTAGATTTAATTCATATAAGCTCGCGTCGATGGTCTTTCAATTTTGATTCTTTTATGTTCAAAACTCATTCTGTTTCAGTTCAGATTTGATTGAAGTTTCTGGCTCGTCGTATCGTGTCTATTGTGTCGCTTTGCATTCAGTTGTTTCGGTTATGGTTGGTTGTCCTGCCGCAATGATTCGGGTTTTCGTAGCACTTCCTAATTTATATGTGCATTTTAATATGTTGTTGCTGATTTATTCAAATCAATGTTGTTGTTTGTATTCAAAAAGAATTGCCTGTTGTTTTGGGTTGCTGCTAATTTCTGTGCAGGTCTTGAACCCCATTCACAGTTCAAGTCTAAACACAAACGCCGTTGAGTTTCGATTCCCACACCACAGCGGCAACCGAGATATATATAGCAGCAGTAACCCTCAAATTCTACAACGCCGCAGCCATAACGATGATAATCTTCTGGCGTCATCACAATTTGGCTTCACAACAATAAATCAGGACAACGCTGCTGTTGGATATTGCTTGTTTTGTTCTTTTTTTTTGACAGGTTGCGACATCACCAAGTTTCGGCTACACAATGGTGAAATTCTGCTAGTTCAGCTTTCGACACAAAAAATGCAACCAAACATTTTAATGCAGGGAAAGTCAAGTGGCTACAATCAACAACCGCCGCGGATGTTACCATGTTATCATTCACGCAAAAAATGGGGATTCTTTTTTTTTGTTGTGCAGGTATCAAGTCTGATGCAGGGTGAGTGAACATCATCGCGACAGACATCGAAGTGCTGCTTCTTGTAGGATTCTGGTTGATTTAGTGTTTACGGCAACGACGGAAACACAACTAACTCAGCGTTAGAGTATAATCTGTCCCAATTCAGTTTTCGAAGATAATTGCATCATCCTCAAGGCATCTGTCACCACAAAAACATTGAAGCAATACGCGATGACAATTTAGCTTTGGCTCGTCTTAGCGGCAACTCAATTTTAGCGAAGATTTCCCAGCAACCGCAGCTGCATCAACTCGCACCACAAAACTTGAAATCAATCATGCTGGATCGCCATGGACCTTGTGGATTCAACCTCAGGAAAAGCTAACTCGGTGCCACTACATGACTTTATTTCGTTTCCGGTTTGCCTTCAATACCAATTTTGATTCTGTTTCATTTTTAGTTTAAACTGTTATCACTGCTCTCTGTTCTGAGTCGTGAATGAGCTTTGGAACTCTATTATTGCTGCTTCTCAATTTGGTCCTAGCTTTTGAGCTTCTGAATTTATTGCAATAATTTCTTTGTGATGTAAGCTTTGAGAATGATATGAATAACATGCAGCTGATTTTGTGTCGCCTCAATTGAGATTCAAGTACATTAGTTTTTTTCAAATTATTGCTGATATCTCAATTAGCTAATGTTAAATTCTAGTGAATCATACTGAATTTATGAACTGCTTGGATTAATGTGATGATTTGTGGAATAGATGTTAGAAATAAACTGATGCTAATTCTATTTGCTCGGTTTATACGAGTTTGTTCTGGTTCCTGTTATGTTTTTGATTGATAAATACTAGATTGCGGCAGCCATTTCTGTTTCGATCCATGGATGGCGACATCATTTCGGTTACGCGAGAAGAGTTTGAAGTAAACAGCAGCATTATGGCCTTTGTCCGACAATAACACCGAGCAATCCATCAAATCCAAACAACTCAAAGATTTCACTTACTCGACTCCGCAACAGCATTGACGTTAAGTTCAGCTTAACACCAAACAGTGATTTGTTTACGGTAACGATTCAAAATTGAACTTCTGTAGTATACTTTTTGTTATTCAAATTTGTGTCTCAGAATTAATTCGATTGTTGCTCGTGCAATATTGTTTGAATTGACTACACTGTTTCGGTTTTGCGAAATTTAATTTCATATTTTATTGACTGTGTTTTGTTCCTCATCTTGTATGGATGGTCAAAAGAGTTACTATGTACAAATGCCATTACTTCATGGCTGATGAACATGGCACAACATATTTGAATGGTTTGTTTTAATAAAGACAATATATGGTTATGTAGTTGTTAAAAATGTTTTGTATTTTCTAATAACATAATGTATTAACTCTAATTTTATTTTTCTAATTAAATCACAAAAGTAATGGATTCTTGAGGTCTAACACCTCTTGGATTTTTGTACAACTGCTCTTGAGGCGCACGCTCTTGAGTTGTGGTTGTTCCTTTTTTTGATTTTCAAAACCTGTTTTTATTCAATTTAATTGAAATTTCTAAAAAGATATTTTAAAAATAATCTTTATCAATTAGATATTTTTATAATAAATTCCAAATATTCATTCTTTTAAAATAAAATACATTTCAAAATTATTACCAAATTAATATTTTTAAATAATAAACTTTTCAAAAAAATATACTTTATTTAAAACCTATTTCTTCTTAAAGATATTAACTTTTTCAAAACAATTAATCATAATAATATTTTAAGTATTGAAAAGCTATATTTTATTAATTGAGTTAAAACTTTTCTAAAATATTAAACTTTTCCCAAATCAAAACTTTACAATTGATTAATTAATTTTATAGAAATTAAGACTATTTTTCTTAATTAAATTAAGTTTTTTTTTCTTAAGTAAATTTCAAAACAAATAAATTCTTGGATTTCGCCTTCCTTGAATTTTTAAGCGACCACTCTCGAGGTGCACACCTTGAGTTGTGAACTTTCCGATCTTATTTTCTAAAACACCTAGCGCGCCTAGTCCGAATACGCTAATCCATTCAATTTTTTTTTTAAAATTAAATCACGAAATAATCGAGTTCCTGGAGTCGCGCGTTCCTCGAATTCGAGAGTGACTACTGTTGAGGCGTACGTCTCAAATGGTGTCGTTCGCATTTTCGTTTCTAAAATACCTCCTTTAATTATTTGGACAAGTACTTTCACTGTCCAACAAACATGTCTTATAATTAATG